TGCTCATTGGTTTAAAGGGTTATGATATGGAAACAAGTCATTTTCTCATCTGACTGCTCACATACTATCTGAGAACAGCCACTCAGGACCATGAATCCAGCTACTATTTCTTTTTCCAACTCTGGGATTGTGTGGTGAATTGTAGCACTATACTCTTCAGTCTAACATCAGTCAATCCAGCACAGAGAATGGATTCTCCAATTTTGGTGTCTTTCTTATCCCTGATTTTTGTCACTTCATATAGCCATTCCTTCAGATGCCTAGTCTATTGAATGGTTAGAACACAGAAGGAGGTCATTCAGCCCCATTGTGTCTGTGCTGGCCCTCTGGATGAGCAAACCACTTATGACCATTCATCTGCCTTTTACATGCAGCTCTGCAAATATTTTCCCTCAGACAATAATCCCATTCCATTTTCTTGTGGTGAATCTTCCTCCACTCAGTTTTCAATCACAGCTTCAACTGAGCCACTCAAAAGGGAACTAGATAGAGTCATTAAATCATAGAGTCATATAGCACAGAAACAGGTCGTTCAGTCTAACTTAACCATGCCAACCAGGTTTCCTAAATTGAAGTAGTCACATTTGCCTGCATTTGGACAATATCCCTCTAAACGTTTCCTATCCATATACCTGTCCGAATGTATTTTAAATGTTGTAATTGTACTTGCCTCTACCACTTCCTCTGGCAGGCTGTTCTGTATACGCACCACCCTCTATATGATAAAGTTGCCCCTCAGGTCCCTTTTAAATCTTTTCCATCTTACCTTAAACCTATGCTCTCTAGTTTCAGACTCCCCTACCCTGGGGGAAAGGGAACAATGTGAAGGACCACAGGAGAAGGCAAGGGAATGACACCAGGTGAACCACTTGATTCCTACCTTCTTGTTATTTGCCATTTGAATTCTGCCACTTGTTCCCACTCCAACTCAATTGGTACGGTTATGGACATGAAGTCAGGCAGCTTAGAGGACCCAATATAGCAGCCCAGCTCACAGCATCAGTTAAAGGCCCATAAACCTCATCTGTCCCTCCCTCACCTGGACTCATACTCCTACTCCCTTAGTTCACCCAGATCACTGTGCGACCTCCATCCCCTCAGCCATCCAATCCCTCTCAGCCTATTACCCTGAGCCCCCTCACTCACCCTATGCTCCTCACCCTCTAATCCAACCCAGGTCTCTTTAGAGCCGTGATACCACTTCCATGTCCCCATGTATTCTCAGTTTCCTTTCTCCTCAAAAACATCTGAATGCCCTTTCAAAAATATTTATTTTATTCGTTCTTATTTCTGGCCAGACCAGTGTTTCTTGCCCATTATATAATGTGTCTGAGTGGTTTGCTAGACCACATTAAAATGCAGCTAAGAATCAATCACTTTGGTGTGGTGCAAATTCACATGTAGATCAGACCGAGTAAAAATTATCTGTTATAATGGACTTCAAGGAACATGTTGTAGATTTTCACAAGAATTTGACAGCACATGTTCACTTTTACTAGCACCGTCTGTGTTTCCACATTTGTTTAAAAACTCAATTCAAATTTGCAAACTGCCAAAGGATGAGGCTTTCTGAATTATTAATCCAGCAACATGACCATTACATTGTCATATATCTTAGCATCAGCTCATCGCTAACTCTGCTGCTCTCATTTGATAAATTGTCACCTCCTCAACCATTATTCATTTCTTCACTGATATAAATTGGCTCTTAGAGTCAACACTGTGGCCCTGCAGGTATTGCAGCCGACTCAGAGCGAGGTATATGGACAAAGCCCTGGAAGACAGGGCAGTGGTTGGGCCCTGGTGATGAGGAAGGTGCCATTGTTGAGGGTATGTTGGATAGGCCCTTGTTGTGACCTCTGTAGTGCACAGGTTTTAAAAGCATGAGGGTCTGCTCCTGAGCCTACAGGGAGGGGTCCGCCTTTACTGCGTAGCCTTCCCATGTGGTGGCCTCCCATTAATTGTCCACTTAATAGTGTCAACTGGCTTCTGAGCAGAAGGTTGTCCTTGGCCTATTTTTTATTTGTTCATGGAACGTGGTTATCGCCGGGCAGGCCAGTATTTATTGCCCTTCTTTAGTTGTCCAGAAGGCAGTGAAAAGTCGATCACCTTGCTATGGGTCTAGAGTCACATTTAGGCCAAATCAGGTGAGGATGGCAGATTTCCTTCCCTAAAGGACTTTAGTGAAACAGATGTCTTCTTTTCCTGACCATCAAAATGGTTTCATGGTCATGATCAGACTCTTAATTCCAGATTTTTATTGAATTTGAATTCTACCATTGTCATGGCAGGATTTGAACCTGGGTCCCCAAGACAGTGGCATGGTGTCTCAGTGATTACCACTGCTGCCTCACAGCACCAGGGACTCACGTTCGATCCAGCCTTGGGTGATCGTCTGTGTGGAGTTTGCACATTCTCCCCATGTCTGCGTGGGTTTCCTGCGGGTGCTCTGCTTTCCTCTTGTAGTCCAAAGATGTGCAAGTTAGGTGGGTTGGCCATGTTAAATTACCCAGGGGTGTGTAGATTGAGTGGATTAGCCATGGGAAATGCAGGGCTACAGGGGTGGGGTCCAGGTGGGATGCTTTTCGGAAAGTTTCTTGGAATATTGGACTGAATGGCCTTATTTCCACACTGTCGGGATTCTATAAAAAAGGGACCACTAGTTTATAGTCACTTTTCTTTATCATTCTGGACTTTTTAAACTCTATTCCCATGCTTACTTTTTTTTACTCTGTAACAACACTTAAAGTTTCTGTACCTAGATACTCTGTATCTAAGATGATACTGACAGACAACATTACAAACTTTTCACTACACTCATTGAATGGACGTGACAATAAAGTCTATTATAATTCTAATTCTATGCCCAAGTGTGGCAGTAGATGATCAAACAGCTCCCATGCTATCTGTTGAAGTGTCAGAGATGACTTTGCCTGGAGAATTGACCTTTAAAATTGTACCACTAGCTGATGTCAGTACCGCTACTGCATGAATCTGCTGGGCATTAACTGTACATGCACCAATGGTATCTGGGACAAATCATGACAAATGTATGTGTGTGTGCGTGCGTGCATGTGAGTGCACGTGTACATGCGTGTGTGTGTGTCTCTCGAAAACAATTTGGTCCTGAACAATGGTAGCAACCAAATCTTCTTTCATTGTTTGTTTCTCAAGGCAAAATGACAATATCCATCATCTGGGGTATTTGGTAGAGGTCTGGTGGGTATGTAGGTGTCTGCTAAGGATGACCTGTGACTGTAAAGTTCTACATCAAATAGTGAGAACATCATAGAGAATTGTGCTTTAGGCACATTACCTGCACAGGGTTTAATCTCTTGCATTTCCTTTCTCCCTCTGACATGTGCTGCTTTTTTTTTGTAATTGGGTTGTACTGGATGTAATGATCATGGCCCAAACATCTCCCAGGACTTTAAGTCATTATCAAAACACGGAATAATGGCCAAACAGTGGAGTTACCAAACCCAGATTTGTACCTTGGGTGTTTAATCGTCCTGTATCTTTTTGGCAAAAAGGAACTCCCACTTTTAACACTTAAACCTGGCCTCCTGAGGATGAACAACTGAGTGAAATCTGAATTAGATTTAGTGAATACTTTGTGTGAAATTCACTTTTTGTCCTGTCTGGAAGTATGGACTAGTTTCTAGAAAGTAATGTTTCGTGTTATTGAAGACGCAGCAAATACAACTTGACAGTAACCTATAAATTGGTCCATGTGTAAGGGAGTCAAAATGATCTTTGAGTGTTTAAATTGCCCTGGCCTTAGGGGTCCACTTCAATCGAGTGGCCCTCTCTGGCCAAACCTACTTCCACATATCTAGCATGTGGAGCTGTCACAAGCTGCTGCGCCTTTCTTAGCATACTGCCTCCCAGTCTTACTCCGGATCCCAGCTGAACAGGAGCTCCAATGAATTGCCCTCCACCCCTGCTCTGCAGATACTCAGGACAATAAGTTTCTTGCTGTTTTTCAGTGGACTTTTATCAGATTTGCTCTGGACTTGTAATAGGAATCCCAAGGAAATTCAGAGACCAGTTCTTTAGTGCTAATATAAAAACTGACCTCAAGGCCAAGGAATCGTTCTATTTTCTGGAAAAGGGAAATGGAATTCAGTCCATTAATAATGTAATATAATTTCTATTAATTTTGTTAGGTACAGTATATTTTTTTACCTCTAAGCATCCACAAAATGTGGAAATCATTTTAAGACATATTATTTAATATTTAGATCTTACACCTCACGTGAATTCACTTTTGGCTTGTGTGAGACGCACTTAACCATCACTTGATTCTGTATTTCACAAATGTAGCAATTGGCTTGAACATACATAAGTGCAGCTAATATTACCACATTCAAGACTTTATATGCATCTACTTGTGCAATCTGACTGTCATTCCTTCTGCCATATTGAATTAACTTTATTTTATTTGCTTTCACATTTAATCAACCTGTTGTAGGGAGTTGGAACCCTTTAATATAGTTCCTAAATTTAATTATCACAGGAGAAATATTTAATGGGACATTATTTCTACTGTTGTTCTATTTCACAGGCTAAAAGTGTTTTAAGCAAAAAATTAATTGATCTCCTTTTGGAAAGGCTATCTCCCATCATTAAATAGATTGGATTGTATGTGATTCCAGTCTCACATCGGTAATGGATGCCGAAAGCTCCTAAAGTGGCCCAGAAAGAATTAAACTGGACAGAACATTCAGTTGCATCCAAAGCATTAACGAGAGTAGTCAAACAGTGGAAAAGGTACACCCAGTCCAAATGTCCCTGCAACGTTCTGCTCACCCTGTTGACAATTTCTTATATCAGCGATGATTCATTCATGCAGATGACTGGGTGGAAGTGATATGTCAGTGTTGCCTGTGGGTTTGAAGCTGACTTATGAGCCCTATCTTAACTTTACAGGCTTTCCCACAGGGAGGATATCGGTTGCCAACTGGTAGAGTGGTGGTAGATTGTTGGCTCAAGTAGCTACCATCTCTCTTTCCATTCTGTCAGTTGCTGCTATTGTTGATCGAGAAGGCTTGACACCACCTTTGATGATGAATCACCATCTTAGTTTCAGTTGGGCATCTGCTTCCCATGTGTTGATGTTAACAGTGCAGACCTTCACGGAAGCTTTGAGAATGTGTTTGAAATATTTCCTTTGACTTCCATGTAAATCAACTCTCGTGCTCAGCTCTGAGTCGAGCACCTTTGAGGACAGTCTGACATCATGTCTTGGCCATCTGAGCTGGTGTGAGATGATATGACCTTGATACTCGGGCAGGTCTGTATCTGGTAGGACACACATGCTTGTTCTTTTGTACTCCCACTTGATTCGCAATTTCCTTCTATGGCGGCAATGTTAATGTTACACTAGGGGCTCAATATTTTGGTAATAGGTTATCCAAGTTTCACACTAACATCTGATTATTGGTGCCAAAGTTTTGAGAGCTGACCCATGCCTTTAAATAATGACTGGCAGATGCTATGCAATGTCTAGTTTGTGCTCTACTGCTGTTAAAATTGGATTCATGTCCCTTTAATCTCATAAAACCTATTTGGTGTTAAATAAACACCAAATGTTGTATGCATATGCAAATCAGAGTCTTAAGTGTGGTTTAGTCAGGGAATTTTGCAGATTGAAAAGTACTTTATTGAAATATACACACAATCTCATGCTGACATTGCACAAGGGGAATCAAGTCCAAGTATAACACTGAAGTAAAAAAGGATTTGAGGGCAGCTTTAATTCGGCCAGGACACATAGATGTATCATAATCCCAATTTCAAAGTGATATACTCTGTCCTTACTTTGATTTGCTGTGAGGAGTTTCTCAGTGCTACCAGTTTTTGTGTCAATGATAGAAACATAAGGAAATTTCTACGATGAGGCAATGTGCACAGACACTTAGGGCACAATGTTCAGGTGTGTCACACCATTAGAGATACTGCTTTACAATCTCAGAGGCTCTCAGAGGAGGGCACACTGGGATTGTAGCTGCTTCCTCTGTGGTTCACGAGGTGCCCCACACTGAGAACAGTGTTCCTTGCGTACACTGGAAACTTCTGAGCTTATGCTTTCACCAAGTTTCCCAGCTGCACAAAGACATGTTTCTTTGTGCCTGTGGGAATTTAAATGAGGGTCCATTCAGTTATCGGACCTTCCCAATGCCTCAAATGTATGTAAGTATAATCTTGTACAATTAAGAAATCCTTTGGTTTATGTGTTGGATAGAGTCAAACTTCAATGTTTGTTTATTTCTTCATATGCTATTGTGCAGAACTGAACTGCTTTAGGGACTATATATATATAAAGATATTTAATGAATAAAGTGTATTTTTAAAAAAAGCATGTGAACCACACAGGTTCATTCAAAATATTTGCTGGTCTCTCACTAAAGAACATGAGGAGATGTTGGCATTACAAGTAATATCACTGAAGTATTAATGAGCTAATGGTCTAGGGCCATGGGTGGCGGGATTAAAATTCAATTATAAAATTGGGAATTGAAAGTTGGTCTCAGTAATAATGTCCATAAATATATCATTAATTTGCATAAAAACACATCTGATGCATTAATGTCCTTCAGGGAAATAAAACTCCCTTCCTTATCTGGCCCAGATCCAAAGAAACATAACTCCTCTCTGAAATGGCCTATCAAACCATTCAAAAGCCATCAAGGATGGGCAACTAATGCTGATCTTACCAGAAATGGCCACATCTATTGAAAGAATAAAAACAAACATGTGCTCAGCTGCAAGTATAGCCCAACATCATCAAGGAGGCTATGGAGGAAGGTGAGCGGGAAGAGGAACTGAAGAAGACGGGGAAGATGTAACCTAGACACCTAACCAGGCAGGCTGCAGATAGCACATTATCCACAGTGCTGGAGAAACTCAGCAGATCTGGCAGCATCCATTAAGAGAGAAACAGAGTTAATGCTTTGAGTCCAATATGATTGTTCTTTGCAACTCAGATGAGTCAAACTAGACCAGTGTCCCCTTCCACCCCTTACAAAGAAGTCAGGAGTGCACCCTCATCTTCTCCAACATGGTTGCCCTGTAGAGATCCAATAATCATTCAACCTTGAACTGATTTAAGGCAAGTGTCCCACCCCTTATGGAAATCCACCATCACCAAACAAAGGATCCCAGCAGAACCACTGGAAACAGTGAAGAAACATGGCCTGAGGATGGCCAGGGTAGGTGATGATTGTAGCCACTTTACATGACACAGTACTAACAGCAGTGAAATGAATGGTCTGAGTACTATTTCCTGTGGACAGCTATGGAGAGGTTTCTTTAACATTGTGGATAGTGCAAGCTTCAGCAACATGTGGTAACACTGATGTCTAGAGGGTGGTCATGTGAATAATTTGTGTCCCTTAAAGTTATTCATCACAGTAAAACTACAAAAGAAATAAAAGAAGGTATCTTGTACCCAAATGCTATTTTGCATTTAAAGAGAAACTAAACATATAAAGGAGAAAAGATAGGGTGAGATGCAAAGGGAAAGATAGCAGTTTTCTTCGCACATTAACACTGACATGGACCAGAGATAGTAGGAACTGCAGATGCTGGAGAATCTGATGAAGGGTCTAGGCCCGAAACGTCAGCCTCTCTGCTCCTATGATGCTGCTTGGCCTGCTGTGTTCATCCAGCCCTGCACCTTGTTGTCACTGACATGGACCAGTCTGGTTGCCCAAACTGTCTCTATGCTGCATGGCTGTAATTTAGTGAACCAACATTAGGGATGAAAGATTTAAGGCCCGGTGAGTTAAAAGGTCATTGTGTACCCTTTTGTTAATTTGCTGTAGCTTGTTATCCGAACTTGAAGGCATTGACTGTTTCCAGCAACTTGGTTTCACGGTGCTGATTACCCTCAGCTACTTGACCCAAATGGCCATTCATGATATGTGATCCTGCATGGCTGATGTCATCTGGAACAGCCCTGTCCTCCTCCAGCACCCCCATTTACAGTCGTATTACCGTATAACGATCAAAACCTGGAACTGGCCATTTCTCCTTTCATTAAGCCAGGAGCTATTATTCTCTTTGCTAAACTAGTTGCAGCAAAGAAGACAAATATCAAAAAAAAAGCAATCTTATTTAAATGTGTGTCTTACTGTTTATCAATAATGGATGCAAATTCCATAATGATAAGCTTGTCATGGATTACCATACATTCAAAACAAATGAATGAACACTGTCAAATATTTTATCATGAAAACAGAGTCCCTTTAAAGGTTGGTATTTTGTGTCTGGTATTCAGACAATGAAGGTAAAGAATGCTGGCTTTTTTCTGACAGCATATAACATCATCTGAATCCATGATTTGATTGCAGTAATGAAAGTGATCTAGTATCCTTTTGGTTTAAACTTTGCATGTTGAAAACAACAGGGACAATAATGTGATTTTGTAGACACAGTATACAAAAGTACTCTATTTATTTCCTTTATCACTTGAAACCACATTGATATGTTAGAAAATGAATGATGCTTTATGGTCAATGCTGATTGGATAAGTATCAGTCCTGCTTACGAAACTCACTTGGTTTGTACCACCTTCTCACAAGAAAGTGTTTATCCCATCCTACTGCTCACTTTGAATGTTCCTGTCTGGAAAGATATCCAAGTACATTTTAAAATCATAATTGCGCCAAACTTTGATGTCAAATAAAAATACCACATAACTGGTTTTCTAGAAAACTTCAGAATCATTAAATGCTATTTTCTGAGCTTAAAACACATGGCAAAAAACAAAACTTGTTAAGTGTTGAGTTTCCACTACAGATTAAGTGTGATGTGCTTTAAGTCATACAGGGCAGAATTCAATTGCAGGTCTGTTCTGAAGCAGCTGATCTCATTAGTAGTCCAATCAAGTGCCAACGTCTATTTACTATGTAGTTAATCGTGCTAGAACTTATTAAAAATAGTGCACGCGTGGATAGTGTAAAAGAAGGATGCGGCTTGTTTTGAAAGCCTCTGGCACCATGCTTTACCCTGCTGGCTCGTACAAGGAACAAGAACAAGTAATCATATAAGAAACCAGTGTGAAATGAGGAGAAACTTATTCAGTCAATGAGTAGTTAGGTAACAGAATGCACTGCCTGGACGTGTGGTGGAGGCAGGCTCAACTGAGTCTTTCAAGAAGACATTGGATGATTATTTGGATAAAAAAAAAATGTGCTAGGGCATCGAGGAAAAATACTAGCAGATTGGCAATAGATAATGATGTTCATTTAATGAGCCAGTGCAGGCATGATGGGTCAAATGGCCTCCTTCTATGCAGTAACACTTCTGTCAAGTACAGCCAAATATTCTACCAACAGTTACTGTATAGTTAAACACATGAAGAAGGTCCTCATGGGGGAGATGACCAGGAGCATGTTCAAAGTTGAATCCTAGTGTGTGTTAATCAATATGGATGGGGATAAAATTGAGTCTCATGGTGGGTGAGAAATTCATAATTGTCTGTTGAATTCAGCAGCAAAACAGGAGAAGTTTCGCCTCACTCGAACAGATAGTTTTGCCAGATTGCTGGCCACCAAGCATACTATATGTTTGTTTAGCAACACTGGGTGACCCATTGTGGAATCAAAGACCAAACAGAAGGAATTAATGACCTGACGCCATTGAGTTAGCAGCTCAGGACTCATTGTAATTTGGCACCAGACCGTGCTTTGTTTTCTGTGACTATGCAACATCCGTTGATCTGTTGTCAGCTGCGTCATATCAGGTTTAAGCAAGACTTCAGGCATAATCGTTAGAAATGTCCCTGAACTCTGGCAAATAACTAATCACAGAATGAATAAAAGCATCCAATTAAACTAGCCCTGAGGAGGCCAGTTTTCCCATATCTGTGATATCAGAAACCTTCAGTGGGCAGGGTGTGGATTGGAATAGAAGTTTGTACAAACAACCATTTCAACAACAACTCATATGTGTATCGAGCCTTTAATGAAATGAGACACCCTATGATATTATAAAGCAACATTATAAAAGAAAGTAAGCCATCAAACCACCGATTACAACCAGTCTATGGTTGAGCTACCCCTAGTTATTATGGTGCCAGATGGGATAGCCCCTGGTTGTTAATTCCCAAGGGACGAGGGATGAACTGGTTCTTCATTCACCCAACCCCTTGAATCACAACATGGTTAGTTTAAAAAGGATCTCTTCCCTAGTGGATGCTTTCTCCTGAATTTGTGTTTTAAAAAGAATCAATTTAACCAGGTTTTCAAGTTAACAAAGAGTGAGTTTATTCGTTATTAAACACAAGAAGAAGTAATTCA